ATACGGGGTTGTTTGGTATCCTTCTTAGATCAAAATTTTTTGCTTTTGAAACAAGTACTAAGTAGTTTAGTTGCGTTCATCATTTTTAAAAACTATAAATGTAGTTTCTGAAATTGGGGGAAAATTTAACAAAAAAATTGCACTTGGGTATGGCATTGTGCGAATTTACATTTACAGTTTTGTGTTGAAATTATTATTGTCTACTCGATTGGTTAGTAAGGACAACTTCTATAACATGGGAAGGCGTCCCGTGTCATGTAAGTTGCTCCAGTTAGATAGAGCTTTCCAGCCATAGGTTTGATGAGCGGTCCTTTGGTTATAAGAAGTGTGAGTTGGCTTCTCTACTTGGCATGGAAAATATCTTTGTATTTCAGCAAAGCTTAGTTCAAATGGGTGTTGCATATTTTTTGTTGTTGATGAGTTTATTAGTGTTGATGAATGTGGCTACTGATTCGGAAGCAGCTTCTTCTGTATTACCCTACTGCATTCCTAGTCAATCGTCGTCGTAACCATTTCCGTTATGTCTTACCATCTCCTCCTTCTCCTCCGCAGACGCAGCCACCAATGTTGCCACGGCTGCCGTCTCCATCAGATTCATTAGCCCCACCACCGCCACCTCCACCTTCACCATCATTTGCATCGCCACCACCACCATCCTCACAGCCATTGCCATCAACACCACCGACATTACCACAGCCACCACCACCATCATGGGCATCACCACCACCACCATCGTCATAGAAAAGATTCATAACAAAGGATCGATGCGGTTAAGGTGCGCCTTCCTAAGTTATGGTTTCAAATTCAATGTTTGCATTACGAGTGGAGATTTACAGTATCCAAAAACTTATCATAATCCTTGCTGAAGAAAGAATGTAGTTTCAGTTCAGCAGTTAGTTCAAATGTTGGGTCCTATCACCTATGGTGTCGTTCACATTTATTATGATTAATGTAGATATGAGGCTGAGGCATATCAGCATGTGTCGGCTTCATCTTTGTATTAAAGTTATGCACCAAATTATGTGCTGTTGTTAGCTAGCACTTACTCCATTTCCCCCATCTATATTTGACTACAAACAGTTCTGAATATATGTTTGGTAAAAAAACTTAAAAGTGCTTTTAGTTTATATGAGCGTTTTCAGAAAGCACTTTCAATTACTTTTTCTTGTCCAAGAAGCGTACTTATAGAAGAAACCTAAACGACACACGACTAGATGTATAAATTAGTATTTGCAAAAGAATACAGCCATAACAAATATCCAAAGAGGTGACAAATTTTGAAGTTTCATTCATGTTTTCGTTACTTCTCACTTTTCAGTTTGCAATTGAAAGAATATACAAGATTGTCCGTGTAACATACATAATAAGGTGGTGTGCAGTGCATACTAGCAAATTAAGTAGGGTGGTGCAATACTGCCATTCACACACCATTTTTAACCTTTCACACAGACATTTCAATTTTCGGCATGTTGGATCAAATGAATTGAAGATGATCAAACGACAGAAAGTAATAGGGAATGTGTAAGAGATAAAGAGTAGTGTGTGGATAGCACCGCCCATATAATTTACAATTAGATAAAGAGTTTGCAAACTACAAAAGAATAAGAGTTTGCGAACCCTAAACCCTTTACAGATGTATATAGATATATTATATATACATATAGATGGCCAACATAGCCCATATATTGAAGCTGGAAAATGAATCAGGCAAGCTCGCAGAAGAATTGAAGATCATTTTTTCTTTGGTCATGCCAACTTAGAAGCATGATGATTATCATCTCCCGTATTATTTATACTTCATTCTCACTTCTATTTTTCTCCTATTGCACTCTTTTGTTTATAAAATTTCGATTGAATAAAACAAATGAGAATTAAGGGAATATAAATAGTCTTTAGATCAAGTAAAGTGAAAGAAAATCAAGAAAATAATAGTGTCCAAAACAAGAAATGATGTGTAAAAATAATTTCTCATGTTGTAAACTTATTTTATAGAGAGAAGATAGCGGAGCGGCAAGCAGAGGAGAAAATGGCTTGAGGAATTCTGTGATGATTCTCCATGCATCAAGTGTTTCTTGCCTCAACCCTCTAAATAGGAAGAGGGGTACTTTACAAAGAGACAGTAATTGCTTTGCATTGTGTCTTTATTTTATACTAAACATGATTGGTTTTGTTACTTATCCTACAAGCAATATAAAGTCCAATAGTAAAGATCTACAATATCCCATAAGATTCCTAAACATAAAATACTTAGAATTTATACAATGATATTCCTAATTAATAAAAAATGCAACATCACATCAATTATTTATTACCCCGCTCAAATTTTAAAAAAAAAAAAAAAAGTTAACAAAATCAATCCTAAAATTTTAATATTGTAAGGAAAAATTCTCTAGCAAGCATGCGGGTCTCCCCTTGTATGTGACATAGTCAATGGAACAATTAGTTTCCCTAATTCATTTGACTTTCAATCCAAGCGGATTCTCTCTCCTTTTTTGTTTTCTTTCATTAATTTTGTGGGGGGTTGGTTAGAAAATCCAAAAGTATATGCCACGAGTTACAACACAAACAGCCTATCTAGCGGTCAAGCCATAACTCTACTACACCTAATAAATGTAAGATTCTCAATATATTATATATACAGTACCACACAAATTACAAATTCACCTATCTCGTGATCTATGTACATATTTCAAGCATTATATAAGCTCGATCAGCTCAAGAGTTGGGAGTGTAGAATTAATATGGCTCCTAATTCTTGCTTGTATCTGATGATATTGCTACTTGTTGGCTTACCGTGTCTGTCACAAAACAGTCATCAAATGGGTAAAAGCCATGTTGCAATCTTACAAGGTTTACATGATATACATGATGCAAGTACGGTGCTTGAAGTTGCAAGTGTGGTTGGTGGTTTCTCTGGAGCTGGTCACAATATGCAACACGTGAAGTTAGGCCGGAGAACTGGAGCTAGAACGCCTCCTTCTCCGACACGCAACAGACTGGCCCAAATGGTTTCCCCAACCACGCCCACCACTACCACGACGACGCATGTCCTCAACTTCTTCAACACCATGATCTTTTTATCTAGCCAATTATCAATGTTTCTTTTTTGTTTGGTTAACTTTGTACCTAGAAGTTGATTCTTTGAAAGTTAGTTCGATGGTTCCAATTTTGTGGTTGATATTCTTGAAATGACACTAATTGACTCTTTATCAAAAAGGCCAATAACGTAATATAGAGTGCCCAACCCCAAGAAAGTCAAATTAGCCTAATGCACTGCTTGTAACATGATGGAGATTTTCATGGAACGAGTTCATTGCAATTGTAGTGTTCTGAACCAATAATACAAAGTCATATGTAAGACTTTTCTTATGACCTTATATTATTATTGAATCTATTTCATATAAGCCAATCTCTTCTAACATATGCTAACATGGTAAACATAAAGCCCAAGAAACCAGATCAAAAGAAAGAGAAGCATAATAAGAAAGCAGAACTGCATGACGAGTGAGCACCAACCAAAGCCGGAGAAAGAATCCGAGACAAAATTGCATGGCCTACTTGCTTTTTAAACTTCTTGTTTCCCTTATATCAGAACCATCCGATGAGAAATATGAGGAGATTTAAATAAGAAAAATCAGAAAAATAAAGAAGAGGGTTGCTATTATCTCTTGAATGCCATGAATGGTGTTGCTTGATTTGATTAGTTGCTTTGCCCACTTGTTGCTTGCCGACAATATAGCAAGGCTTTGGTCCCAAGTACCAAGTACAAATACAACAGCTTTGCCTCGAGCGGATGCAAGTCATTGTTTTCTTCTTATTCATTCCCAGCTTCATCGATCGAACACCTTGAAATGGCCATAAGGGGGGCCAAAATGAATTAGTATCTCACATTACATAGTTAATTAGTATGGCTTTAGCAATTGAGAAATAATTTCACATACGTCTTTCTTCCATGCATACTCATTTTATTTGTAACACTTGAGTGAAATAAAGCAAAGAAAATTAACGAATAGTTTTAAACAAAAATGTGAAAGAAAAAAAAATAGTATTGCCCTAAACGTATCCAAATCCTGATCAAAATAACAGTATTTTCTTTATCGTTTGTCAATATTTAAGAGAAATAAAGGATCAAAGGTGGTTCTTTCTTTGGTTAATCAGAAAGGATCAAAAGTTTCTCATGCATGATGCATCCAATTTAGTGACTCGGTCAACTTAATTAGTACTCTTTGTAAGTTTTGACCATATATTATTATGAGTCGATACAGGGTGATCTGGCAAAATTTAGCTTCTATTTTGAATCTTAAACATGAGAAAGGTAGAGAAGATGATAGGGTAGTGCTATTCATAAGCTTCTTTTTACTTTTTACATATTTTTGTGTCTATTGGTCTTTTTCAATTCATTTTATTCGACGGTTAAAATTTTAAAAGTGTGTGTGACAAGTAAAAATAAATGTGCGAATAGCACTGACCCAAATGAAAAGGTTGTAACGAGCTAATTTGTTTTGGCTTCTCTACCCCACAAATTCAATACAATTATACTAAAGTCAACAAAACATGCATTATGAGTCTTTTACAAAACAAAAATATATAATAAAAAAATGCGTCAAGAGTACTCACATGTACAGTATATAATATTTTTTTGAGTAATTTGGGAGATTAACTGGTGATCTAGCTATAATTGGTTGTGACATCACCCTTTTCAAATGTAATTAAACTAATTAATGATTTAACTGTTGGAACGGTCATAATCAAGGTCCAACACCAACAAGAATCTTATCTTCTTTGTACCTAAGTTACTTACTCTAATCAATTTTTATGGACTAAAATTATTAGCAAACAGCTATACGTACACTAGTACTATGATTATGGAAAAGCTTAGATCATGTTATCCACACACCCTTTTTTCTCTTTCACACACATTGTTAATTTGTGTCATTTGATCATTTTCAAGTCATTCAATCCAACAGTTGGAAATTGAGAAAAATGTGAGGAAAAAAAAATGTGTATGGATACTACTACCCAAATGCTTTCTATTGATCACCCATTATGAAAATTTACAAGGCAATTATGAAAAGTGAATAAGAAAGGCAATATCTAAGAAGAAAGGAAATATCTAAGAAGAAAGGAATAGTTGGCTATGGTGACCACTGACCGTCATCTTCTCCACTCCACATACTTTCCCAAAAATAGTAACAAAAATACAAGGTCCAAAAATGGTATGGTTAACACTTGACACAGATGGACCAATGTGATTAAGGACAGCTGGCTCGACTAACTTGAGAAGGTTTTATTCATTATCAAGCGACGTGATGTACCATTCCACCTTAGTTAGCTCTCAGATATACCGAGTAGCTCCTCCAAATAGTCTGCGCCTAAATCCTCAAACACCACAACTTTTTCCAACTGATCTTCACCTTCTTCATCATTCTTTTGATGCTGATTATGATGCAATGATTTCTTCTTTTTGTTCATCGATGACTTTCTCTTCATGGAGTGCCTTGTCTTTAAGGCCAAAACCGGAGACGAACCCTCCTCAAAGCCATACTTCATCTCCACAAGTGACTGATGAACCACGTCAGCTGGAAAGTTGAGGACCGCCGAAGACCCCCGCATTGAAAGTGCTGCTTGGTCGTAAGCCAGAGCCGCCGCCTCTGCCGTGTCAAAAGTTCCCAACCAAACCCTAACACCGTTTCGCGTCGAATCTCTTATCTCAGCCGCAAACTTTCCCCATGGCCGCCGCCGAACGCCTCTATAAGCAACCACTTGATCTTCGTTAGCTGTGGCACTAGAAGAATTCACCTCTTCATGGTCTTTCGAGTGAGTGGAGGATACTATTGAATCCGACGAGTTCTGATCTCCTGCTGGCGCCTCAGCAAGAACTCCATAGAGAAGCATTTCTTCTGAGTCGTTCTCATTAAATGGTAGCTGGGGAAAGGCTGATTGGTTGTGATAATCTTTAAAGTCGAACATGTTCCATGAGAGATGATCATCGTGAGAATAATATTCTAGAGAGTTGAAGGAAGAAGAAGATTCAAACGAGAATTCAGAATTACGGTTTTGGAAGAACGACAAGTCCATCTTGCTTTATGGAAGAATGAACAATTTGCAGAATTTCCTTTGAATAAATATTGGAATGGATATTTCAGTGAGTGGTGTACGTTTTGCGTTTATAAAAAATATTTTGAACGCAGTAGGACTTTATATAGGAAGAAAAGAAGGGAATTTGGGTCCCATTAGGACCCATGTTTAAAATATATTAGTGAACAAATAAAAATAATGGTGAGAAGGAAAGAGATAGGGATGAATAACTTTGAAGGTGGTCGTGACCGGAAACAAGTAGTCAAAGAGACAAGTCAGATGAGAGATTTTTCAATGTATCGGTATATGAAGTACGTATTATTATATAAATAGTGAGATATATGTGTTAAAAGGTTAATAATTTAAAAAATAAAATTTCTCACCACTTTCGTAAAAACATGTGGTGTACCATCCGTGTTCATGTTCCAATAAAAAAGGAAGATGGACATGTCGGCCAGGTCAGTTAAAGATTTATTTTTAATATTTTATTGTATTTCGTGACGTCAACTCGATGATTTCATTGTGCGATGTTACTTATTGTGGGTTTGATGGTATTCATACCTCCACTTGCAAGTTATATGTTTGCAACTTTGCGGATCGGTCATGGACATTGTTGTGTCGTCCTTGTCACATAATTAACTCCATACAATGGGATGATCAAGCTACAGTACAGCTTCAAGGAGAGGGGTATACATGAGCCAAACTACACGCCATCACTTAGTCATTAAACTAGTCAAACAGTCTACGTACCCTCGTCCCTCTCAAAATTATAAGAAGAAACCAATTCCCCGAACGAACGCCGCTCATAAATCCAAGCCAAAACCATAAATTAAACCACGCATTATAATCCTAAAATAACATCCTTATTTTTTTTTTTAACAAACGATATTATCAACATTAAAAATGAAATATTCCATCAGAATATTCACTTGGATATAATAATAAGATATTTTCCATTTATAATTGTTATGCAATTTATAGAATAAATTTCTTCTCAGTGATAGAATAAGTTGACACCAATAGGGTAATTGTTATGCAGTTTATTTGTTTGATCACTAGCTAGAAAAATAATATTTCAAATATGAAACATTTTTTAACGTCAAAAGAGAATATCACTAGATCTAATAGTTAGGTGATGAATTAATTTATGCTTGCAATGTGAAGTTTTGGATGGGTTACAATTTTGACAAAATATATCACGTGTTCTTAAGAGTCAATATAATGTTGAGAAAGAGATATAGATGACATTTATATAATTTAAATTTGTTTTCCCTCATTTATTACAAAACCATATTCTCAACAATGTTGGGAGACAAGTGGTCACGGAGAAAAAGGATTGTCCTTATGATTAGACTGTATAGTCGTTTTCTAAGTTTCAAACCTCTCTTTGTTCACCGGAGGTGCCTAGTTGGGGTTAGAGTTTAATTTCACATACAAATAATTTTTTTAAAAAGAAAGAATAATATTTGCATTCTTCACCGTGGGATAAACACATATAATATTTGCATTCTTCTCGGTGAGATAAACATATTATGTCGCTTGCAAATAACGTATATTTGTCTTACAAATTTTAAAATTAGAACTATTGAATATCTTAATTTTTTATTTGAAGATTATTCCTACAAAAATAATTCAAACTGGAGATCAATTAGTCTTCCAAATGTATCAAATAATCAACTGTATAAGTACCAAGTAACATATCAATTATAAATCGTCCATTTATTTGAAAATTTTGGAGGACTAAATGATTTCCAATTCAAATGATTTTTTTTTTTATAAGAATGATCTACAAATGAAGATGAAGAAATTATTTGTTTTGATTATGAAATTTCTACAAAGAATATGCGTTATCTGCAAATAGGAGAATGACGTCATCTACAAGTTGGGGAATGGACTCCTCCCCTAAAAGAGAATCAAGTATTATCCAAAAAGAATCATGCTGAAACATTTGAGATGTTAATTACACATAAAACATTAAGCTACTTTTCCTTAAATTAATGTGTATAATAATAATGCACGAGTGTTTGATTTGGATTGTAATGGAGGAAGTCCTAATTCTTTTGCAAAAAATTCATGCACTCAGTCAAAAGTGGCTTTAAGAAGATCAAGGCCTGCTTTCGCGCGCGCACACAAAATATAAAACAAGAGGAAAAGCGGTTCTCCAAAAAAAATAAAAAATAAAAAAATAACAAGAGGAAAAGCATTACACCTTTTTAGTGATTCAAGAAATGAATTGAAACCAGCTACTTCAATTTGCAAAAGGGTAGAAAGATTATGTTTTTAGGTCATATTTTGTAAATATCATAATGTGATAGTTGATGGTTGAATTCTTTTTTTTTTTTTTAATGAGTCCAACTATATCGATCGTCACATTATGTAATTTACAAAATATGGTTCAAGTAGATGGTCGTTCAATTTTTTTCCTTCAAAACTTAACTTGTTACCACTTTTTATACCACTTGCATTTCTGGTGTTATTTACCCAGCCTATATATATACACACATGTAACATGTAGTACCCTTCGTAAATTACAGAAAATCTTGCATGTCAGATTTATACCTCCTAGAATATATGATCTAGACATGACAGGTTATGTTTGTATCCATATGAATTAGAATGTATAAATTGACCATGGAATACTAACTGAGGAGAGGGATAAAATTAGAATAGATTGACCTGGCTAGATTACATAAGTTAGACATGACATATTATGCCTTCATACAAATCACAATGAATAAATCAACCATTCATATAGTGATAGAAGAGGAGGGTACATGAAAAAATTGCATATCACCCTCATGATTGTATGACCTAAACATGATACATTACGCCTATATTCGTAAAAATCAAAATGAGTACGTAATTTGAGCATGGAATTTTAAACGAGGATGGTGAAAAAAAAAGTGGTATGTGAAATTGGTACAGTTAAGTGTCCGGTTGATAACCATTTTTTTATTACTACAACTATATTCATAAACGAGAGAGAGAGAGAGCTCCTTAATCTTTTTAATGGGTCAGTCGACTGAAGTTTTATAAAGTTAATATCGGAGCAAACTCTAAAATCTTGCACTTCGAAGTCGACAAACCGAAAAACCTGGACCACTTATTTTAAATCCTAGTACCCCTATTAGCCCATTCACTTACCTACCTTACCACAAACCAAAGGTCCGGATCTGTTTCTTCTTCTTTTAAACAGTGCGAATTTCTTAATCCATCAATTTTGAACGGTGAGATCGGAAGAGGATTTAAATTCGTAATAAGTTCCGTCAAGCATCGTCTTACAAAACTAGGGAGCTCTCCTTAACTGATGACAGCCATACGAAAGGAAAACGTTGTATGGCCCATCTATTTTCGACTAGGAACCAAGAACCACTACTGTATATACTCGCCCGTCACTATCGAATTCTCTAAAAATGACGAAGTGTGTGTATGTAGGAAGAGTTGATTTCCTACTGATTTGAACTTTCATACATTTCCGATGAATTAAATTAAAGCCTTATGGGGAAGGCCAACTTATATACAATGAGGTTAAAGCTTTTCACCTATACTACATGTGGAGAAACCTTTATACCGACACCACACTCAGCAACTGCACACATTCAGCAATATTAAAATGTTCTTCCCTGCTGTCTTTCCTTTGATTGTAGTGATGGCAGGTACACCCATGCTTGCCAACTGAGATTCCGCATGTGGAGCATCAAAGCATGGAGTGGATGTATAATTAATACATGGCAGATACACCCATGCTTGCCAACTGGGATTCTGCACTGCATGTGGAGCATCAAAGCATGGAGTGAATGTATAATTAATACAAGGATTTCAACACTCCCCCTCAAGTTGGAGCATGAATGTTTTGAACGCCCAACTTGCTGAGAAGAGAATGAAACGATGCCTTTCCTAGTGCTTTTGTAAATATGTCGGCCAACTGATGTTTTGAAGGTGTGAACTTTGTTGCAATCATTCCTGAATGTAACTTTTCTCGGACCAAGTGACAATCTAATTCGATATGTTTAGTTCGCTCGTGGAAAACTGGATTAGCTGCAATGTGTAGTGCTGCCTTATTGTCACAGTAAACATGAGCTGGAGCTGCATGGGAGACCTGTAAATCTTGTAACAAATAACGAAGCCACGTAAGTTCACAAGTGATTGCAGCCATTGATCTATATTCTGCCTCTGCAGATGATCGTGAAACCGTATGTTGTTTTTTTGTCTTCCAGGAGATAAGTGATTTCCCCAAAAACACACAATAACCTGTCACAGACCTTCTAGTCGTTAGACATGATGCCCATGAAGCATCACAGTAACCACTCAATTGTAAAGTATCTGTAGATGGAAAAAATAGACCTTGTCCTGGAGTCCCTTTGAGGTATTTCAAGATTCGCATAGCAGCTTCAAGGTGAGGCTTGCGTGGTTGGTTCATGAACTGGCTAAGGTTTTGGACAGAAAATGTGATATCTGGCCTTGTTATGGTGAGGTAGATGAGTCGTCCCACGATCCTTCTATATCTGGTTGGATCATTCAATAATTCACCATCCGTTGGCCTTAACTTCAAGTCTTGTTCCATGGGAAAATCTACTGGACATGCCCCTAATAGTCCAACATCGTCCAGTATGTCCAAAACATATTTCCTTTGTGAGATAGAAATGCCTTGCTGTGAACGAGCCACTTCAATCCCAAGAAAATATTTGAGAGGTCCGAGTTCCTTAATACGAAACTGATGATGAAGGAATTGTTTTAACCGTTGAATGGCCTCATGGTTGTTCCCTGTAATGATCATGTCATCAACATAGATAAGAACCACTGTAATGGAATGCGCAGTAGTGCAGGTGAACAATGAATAGTCTGCGGTTGATTGTTTGAACCCCACGAGTTGAATAGCTTGAGAAAACTTTGAAAACCATTGACGGGAAGCCTGCTTCAAGCCATAGAGGGATTTATGGAGTCGACAAACCAAGTTCTCCCCCTGTCGACGAAGTCCAGGAGGTGGAGACATGAAAACTTCTTCGTCCAAATCACCATGGAGAAAAGCATTCTGGACATCGAGCTGATGGAGAGGCCAGTGGCGTTGAGCAGCCACGGCCAATAAACAACGAACAGTGGTA